TTTCCTTCTTTTATTTGCTACGGTTATTACTCGGCCGTTGGCGATTCGACAGAAAGACCGTTAAAGACAATTAATGCGACGTCGGGTAACCTTCGCTGCGTCTAACGAGACGAATAGCTGTCAAACGTAGAAGTTAACATTTATACGCTTCGAAAAAGAAGTCAAACGATGCGCTATAGGTTCAATCGCTTCTTTCGATCGAATTAACGTCGATTCCGCGGCGACGAACGCGCGGGTTTTAATCACTGGCCAATTTACAAACGCAGACTCGTTTCAACTTTTATTCCGCCCAGTCTATAAAGCGCTGGGCGATTAAAACGACGTGACGTACCGATGGCACTATGAATGTCCCTGTTCCCTGAACGTTCTACGAGCTCGAAGTTTTCGATAAATAATTATTTATAAAATTTACGTAGGACGTTCGAGATAAGTTTCTCGTTCGAATAACGAGGCGAACGAGAAAACGATGTGCTCCGGCAAAAGAAGTAACTTGGTACGCATGCACGATACGCTTCAATTAGACATTAAACGATGATAGCAGCGATAAGCGGCGCATCGATGATTAGAAACTATTTTAAACTATCGAGAACCCTTTGACAAACGTTTGATATTGAATTCTCTAGTAAATTCATGGGCACTCTACGAACCCGATTGAATCCTCCGGAAGCGGTCTCCCTAACGACCGAGGAATCAAACCGTATCTCGAGCCTCGCTGCGAACACGGATTGTGGCGAGTAACCCGCTCTAACCTGACTATAGCGTAATTGTTCAATAATCGTGAGATTGAATTCGTGAATCGAGTTCCGAAAATGTTGAAAGGATCCGCGCCAAATCTTTTCTAGGTCATTCGACGGGGACAGGACACGCACGGTTCCACAGCTGATTTTACTGGCCACGACGAAATTCACGATGCCATCGGACGCTGACGAATATGGAGGACGCGAATGAATTTTTTCCAATCATTCGAATGCGTACTTACCGCGACTGATCACTGATAATTTACCGCGGAACTGCACGCGAACTCGTCACAGAAACCACAGCACTGACACCACGCCAAAACAGCCCCTGCGAACGACTGATTTTTATCGAACTGGCCGCGGCGAAATGCAGCTCGTGCTCCCGCATCGCCATCTTCCAGCAAATTTTTCAAGCATCCCGTGTCGATTGAATAGCCGACGTTCTTAATGCATTCCGCGCGTGCGTACAACTCTTCAAATTTGATTATTACCTCGTGCCTTCAACAAATGGAACCTTTAAATTATTTTAAATGACAGAGGTGAGGAAAAACTAACGCGTACTCCGACATGGTACATTTTGTGATTGTATATCTTTTTATTGTTTATGTTTGTTCAGTCGGTTTTCAAATGCACCGCGGACAATTTTAAAATGTGATCGTAAAAGGAACAAGTACTGATCAAATAAACGTTTTGCACTTCCGTTTTATGCATTCGTTGTGTAATTTCTGCGCTCTTCAAAAAGGACCAATCGCATCCGTACGCTAGACTTTCGTGCTCATTGTATTCGCCAATGACAGACGGTGTTTCTACGTTTTCGCAGTCCACAATTCGGAACCCGCCATACATACAAGCAGCGAGCAAATAATTCCGCGCGAAAGGATCCCATTTCAAACGCCAAACGCCACCACCGAGGCTGGTCTCCGAAATTGGTCTTTTAATGTTCCTTACGTCCCATAATCTCAACGATTCGTCGTAGCTGAAAATATGCAAGTACGTATTTTAATGTTAAGTCTTTCTCATTTGATGACGGTCTGACTTCAATACATCACCTTCCCGATGCCAGAACAAATTCTTTTGACGCATTGCTGTGCAAACTTGTAACGCCTGCACCGTGAGTTTTGTTTATCGCGGTAGGATTAGTTTCCATTCTTGTGTCGAATCGTTGAAATTTACAATCATCACCGCCTTAAATGGAATTGATGTTATAAAGTATTTGATTATTTGAATAATAGCTCTAAAATCGTTCATACCGCTGTAGATGACATTTGTATCCCAATAATCGAAAGCTGTGATCCAGGCTTCGAATTTGTGTGCAGACCAAGAATTAATAACAACTAAGTCATTTTCATTAATTTTAAATAATGTTATAAAACCTTTCGAATCACTGACTATTACGTTTAGATTTGATTCATTATTATCTATCCATCTTCCGCTACACCAATCTAGAGATAATGCAAGAACTTCTCTATCGCTTGCAACTTTTTCTTCTGTTAGTAATTCCAAATTCTCCTTTTCCTTGTCATTTTTCAATTGATATATTTGCAGATATCCTAAGGAATTTACAACTCCTAGTAAGACTCTATTCTGACACATGTGTGCCCATTTCATATCTAAGACAGCAGGTACTTCTAACTTCTGTAATAATGTTAGACATCCATTTTCGTTGATTTTAAACATATAGATTTGTCCCAAACGTCTCGACTGTGATGTATTTACAGGTGATTCCTCATCTTTCATTAATTGGTATGTTCCACATACAAATATAGTTTTGTGAGAATTTGATGGGCACCATTCAATGGAATCAGCTGAGAATTCTGTATCAAAAGTCTCCAAAGTGTGGAACATCTTTGATCAATTAATCTGTAACATGTAATACTTTGCGTATCATGCGTGCTCGTAATACCATCTTAAAAGTAAATTCACTAAACTATGTAACAAAAGGGAGCTACAATTTTAAAAGGAAGCAACATAGGAAATATGTTTAAATTTCTTTATTTGTTACATAAATATTACACTTAATTGAAGTGATATAAATATGACATACAATTTTCAAACTTATATACGTTTACATATATTCATGTGGATACATACACACGCACAATTACACATTTAAAATTATATAGTACTCTTAATAAATGTTAGTTCCATTTAAACATTTACAGTGAAAATATGGCATTTGTAAATTGTATAGTCATATAGAAAAGGTACATCTTGATCAAAAGTATATTTTATCTTTAATATTATATATATATATCTTAAGGAACAATGTATTGTTGCTAGTCAAGTCTTTCTTAAAAGTAATAAATTCTTATTATTCTGAGCAATAGATGATTTAAATAGCATAGGAACTTTGAGTTTTTCATTCTTACAGTTTAAAAAATTTGTATAATGTATATTCATTTAAACACACTGTATATATTCTTATATAAATTACTATGAATATATAATATACTGCTTAAATTAATACCATGCTGGTTCTCAATCATGAATACTTTGTCATTAAATATTTATTTCCCTAACACTTTGAAAGAATATTTGTACTGTCAGTTATTTGCTCTATCTTTCTAGTTGCATTTAAGTCTGATGGAATGCATCATTAGACACATTTTAAAATAAATAATTACAATTACACCTTTGTATTTGTACTCAACGCTTGCATAAAATTAAATTTAATAAATTATGACGCACGCTAGTTGTTATCATCATATTCTTTGGCAATATAGTAATTAATAAATATTTTTTCATATTATAAAATACTGTAAATGATGTTGTATGCATTCTATCTTGAATTTATAAAAATAAAGAGACGTGAAAACATCTTCTTTCACATTACATGAAGCTTACGATTAATGACTGATAGTTTTGTTAAAATTTGAGGTAGGAAAAGTTTTAATATTCCTAACATATTTGGTCAACTCGAGGTGAAAGATATGTATATTACTATATATTAAAACGTATTTCATTGGCGTGCATTTCTTTCAGTCTCAACTAAACATTCTTTGACTAGAATGCGAGCATGTATGATCCCACGCTTAATCTTTTCTGCAGAAGTACGACTTCCAGCATAGGTAGGTCTAACTTCGTGACCAAGTTCTTCTATGACATTAAGTAGCTGTATGTATTTTGACTGTCCAGATAACGTAGGAACAGTTTGTTGAAAAGCTCTTGGATTTGGTACACTTAATACTGGCTCTGTGACCTTTGTTGGAACTTCTATATTTCCTCGTTCTTCTTCCATCTTCTACCTCTATTTAAATAAATATCCTAACAAATAATTTATGAGGGAAATCTAAATTAGAATGATCCAAATGCCACAGTACAACTTTTACAATTTATCTTAACATACCAATTTTATTATATAAATGATAACAAGCTACATAGTTTAATAGAAATTAGGTGTTTTGAGGTACGACTTTATATAGTTTTTACAAAATATTCACGAATAATTAAGAAAACCACAAACACGATAACCTCAAGCTAAATATTTCAATTAATTCTATAAGTTACAAAACTTACCTTTAAACGAAACGAGAATTTGTATTTCACAGAATAAATAAATAAGTATAAATAAAAATGAAGTATATGACTTAAATTAATTTACGAATTAATAACTTCTGCTTCTCATCGTTCACGTTAGTTTACTGACGCGTATCCGAAGCATGCCGAACCTTAGTAAGAATCTAAGCGTGCCCAGACGCATAATATTTTCGCGGTACTTTCGAATTGATCGATGGATACTGTGAAATTAAGGGTATAAAATCAATACACTTTATTGTAGAAAATTGTTTCTTTTTTATTTAGATATACCTTGTAGTCAGTTATACTCAATGATTATACTTTCCATAGGTACGTTTTGTTTGATCAATTTTTTCATATGTATACTGTAGGTAATTACTAAGTACCCATAGTTGTAACAAAAAAATGCAATACATTTTCTGTAGAAAATATAAACGAAGACTCTTCAGTGTACAAATTGTTCCTGTTTAATATTATTCTCTCTAGTTACTAAATTAGAACTTAACACGAAGGAAACTATCCTTCATAATTTGCATT